AACTTAAATTGTCTGATTAAAGATTAGCTATTTATCACTCCACACAATATTAATAGTTATTGTTGATTTACATCCTAGAATATTGTCTTAATTACATTGAATAAACGGGGAAAAAAAGTTATATATGAACTGTTCATATTATGGATTCTCAAATTTAATAAATAAAAAACAGAATCAACAAGTTTAGCTAATTAGTATTTTCAACCGAGAACATAGATATACATGTAGAAAATTACGTGGAAATTTAATCATTAACATTTTGACAAATATTACATTTCCGAATCCATAATTAATTCAAAATAAAAATAAGTTCAATGGTGGGAATTCAAAAATTAAAACTATTAAATTTAAATTCTGAATTTGTAGCTAGCTAGCGTAAAATATATTCATCATCAAACACATGTGTTTATGTATGTTCTTTGATAATTAATTATTCAAATGAATAGTAAGATACCACTCCATGAGCCGCCTATACTTTCAAAAAATTAGACAAAAATATGATAATCTTGTATTGAAAAATAAATATACTAAATTTCATAATTTTGAGAACTATGGAATATATACCCTTCGCACTAAAATTAGAGCAAATTTTCTTAAAGTACAAATTAAATGAAGATGCAAAGAAACCTCTGAGTTATAAATATATAAATATATATATATATATATATATATTCCTAAAAGTGGAACTCAGAGGTTTCTTTGCATCTTCATTTAATTTGTACTTTAAGAAAATTTGCTCTAATTTTAGTGCGAAGGGTATATATTCCATAGTTCTCAAAATTATGAAATTTAGTATATTTATTTTTCAATACAAGATTATCATATTTTTGTCTAATTTTTTGAAAGTATAGGCGGCTCATGGAGTGGTATCTTACTATTCATTTGAATAATTAATTATCAAAGAACATACATAAACACATGTGTTTGATGATGAATATATTTTACGCTAGCTAGCTACAAATTCAGAATTTAAATTTAATAGTTTTAATTTTTGAATTCCCACCATTGAACTTATTTTTATTTTGAATTAATTATGGATTCGGAAATGTAATATTTGTCAAAATGTTAATGATTAAATTTCCACGTAATTTTCTACATGTATATCTATGTTCTCGGTTGAAAATACTAATTAGCTAAACTTGTTGATTCTGTTTTTTATTTATTAAATTTGAGAATCCATAATATGAACAGTTCATATATAACTTTTTTTCCCCGTTTATTCAATGTAATTAAGACAATATTCTAGGATGTAAATCAACAATAACTATTAATATTGTGTGGAGTGATAAATAGCTAATCTTTAATCAGACAATTTAAGTTAAAGTCCTGAAAATTAAAAAAACTTAAAACTTTCCATAAAAAATGCGATGTGAATTCTAATTATTCAAACCTTCAATATAGATACGAACACCAGGCGAAAATAAAAAAAAAACAAAAAAAAACTAAGAAGTGTGAACCAAATGAATCTTGAATGTAGCAATCAAGGACTGCTTACTCCTAGTAATTACTAGGTATGTAATAAGAGACAAAATGTGGGGTCTAGTCAAATTTCAAAGTTGCTACTTTATTCACTATATAAAAAGAAGCATAGTGTAGAAGAAAATCATCCAATTACTACAAGAAAATATATCATGGAAAGTGAGTTAGTGGTAGAAGAAATGAAAAATATTAGTACTACAATTTCTTCAACATCATCTCCTCATGATTCCAATAATATTATTCCTAAAACACCAAAAAGTCCATTTTCTTCAAAAATATTAATGAGTCCTTTAGCAAGTGCAAGTCCAATAATGAAGAAAGCTTTAACATATATGGAAGAAATTGGTCATCTTACAAAGCTTCATGATCCTGCTCAAGATGCTTGGCTTCCAATCACTGAATCAAGAAGTGGAAATGCATATTATGCTGCATTTCATACACTTTGTTCTGGGATTGGTGTCCAAGCTCTACTTCTTCCTCTTGCTTTTATTACACTTGGATGGTATGTACAATAATCATCAAAACTTGTTTATTTACTTTTGTTTGAAAAAAATGATTTTTCTTAAGCCGAAGGTTTAACTGAAACAACTCCTCTGCCCCCATAAGGTAGTAGGAAGGTTATTTGTACACTTCAGTACCCTCTCCAGACCTTACAGGGGTATATGTTGTTGTGTTTTCATAACCGTATGTTTCTTTAATTTCTTGCTAAAGGGAAAATAAATAAAGGGTGTATTGTTTGGTATGACATAAGTCATTTTTCAAATCTTTTAGATTTTATTTTGGTGTTTGGTGAAGAGAAAGGAAAATATTTTTCAAAATATTTATTAAGAATTGATAATGATATTAGTAAACAAGAAATGTTTTTTATGAAAATTTTCCCTACTAAAAAATGATTATTTTTTTTTAAAAAAAATTATACTAAAATTAGTGATATAATAGTAGTATCTACGTAAGTGTTTGTTAAAGCAGTAATATAAAGTTGAGAGTTGATATGATTATTGGGAAGGAGAATGACATCTGTCCAAAATTAAGTAGTTATTTCTTTCTTCCTTTTTTTTCTTTTTCTTTTGGGTGTAAACAGTGGAACTTGTATCAATTACTGGAAAATGACTAATTATTTTTTGGAAAATGTTTTTTGTTTTCCATCATAGCTTTTTATTTTGTATAAATGATTATCTTGAGTCAAGAGTCAATCAGAAACCATCAATGATCTACCCCATAAAAGGTAGAGTAAGATCTGTATACAATTATTCATCTTCTTCAGACCTTACATGTGAAATTACACTAGTTATAATACCAAATGTTGGATTGTTGTGCTGTATACTGATTAGCTTTGGATTTTGATAAATTGTAGGATATGGGGGATCATAAGCCTATCATTAGTATTTATGTGGCAATTATACACACTTTGGTTACTCATCCAACTTCATGAATTTGCCCCTGGCATGCGCAATAGTCGCTATCTTGGCCTCTCAATGGCTGCTTTCGGTAAGCATAACAATTACTTCACGGATTTATCCCTCGGGCTACATCATGTGATCGAGTTTAAAAATACACGTAGTATGTGAACTTGTACTATGCCTTATCAAGTTTATTAAATGTTGTGTAGGTGAAAAACTTGGGAAGATATTGGCTCTATTTCCAACAATGTACCTATCAGGTGGTACTTGTGTTACACTAATTATGATTGGAGGAAGCACTATGAAGATTTTCTTCCAAACTGTTTGTGCTTCTGATAGCCATATAACCACTCTAAGTACCATAGAGTGGTACATTGTGTTCACAGTTTCAGCCATAGTTCTTGCTCAGCTTCCTAATTTAAATTCCATTGCTGGAATTTCTCTCGTCGGTTCGATCTCCGCGGTGACCTATTGCACCTTGACATGGGTAATTTCTGTTGTAAAAGAAAGGCCAGAAGGAGTTTCATTTGAACATGTTGAAAATACATCTGATGTTGCAACAATTTGTGCCATCTTTAATGCTCTTGGAATGATAGTTTTTGCATTCAGGGGCCATAATCTTGTTCTTGAGATTCAGGTTTGTTTATTAACTAACCAATTTTACAATTTCAACTTTTTATATGTTATTATAAAAGTGTTGTTTTTTAAACATTGGTTGGTTGTGTCACAGGGTACAATGCCTTCTAGCTTAAAGAATCCATCTCATGTGCCAATGTGGAAAGGAGTCAAGTTTTCATATTCTATCATTGCTTTGTGTTTGTTTCCATTGGCAATTGGAGGCTACTGGGCTTATGGAAACCTGGTAAGATCCTTCACAATTTGGATTGTTTACACTAGATAGCCACTTTGTGGCATTTTATTTAAAATTTGACCACTTTTTCAAACTTGAACCCAAGGTCTGAATATTAGTTTTGATATGCAACTTCTAAACTTAAACCACTTTTGGACATAATACCATTGGTTTAATTTTGAAAGGTTGACCAACTTCTAAACACAAGGCTACAAAGTGGTTATTTGTGTAAACCACTCTTAAAAGTTTAGTTTCTGTTTTGAGACATTTGATCAACCTTAGAAAGAAGGAAGAGAAGTTGAATATTACCTTCTTTTACTGTCATGACAGATGCCAAATGGAGGGATATTGAGTGCATTGGACAAGTACCATGGAGAAGACACTTCAAAAGTCATTCTAGGGACAACAAGTTTACTGGTGGCAATCCATTGCCTTACCTCATTCCAAATCTATGCAATGCCAGTGTTTGACAATTGGGAGTGTAAGTACACCACCAAGAAGAAGAAACCATGTCCATGGTGGCTTAGAACAGGATTGAGGGTATTCTTTGGATGCCTAACATTTTTCATATCAGTGGCACTCCCTTTTTTGCCAAGTTTGGCTGGGCTTATTGGTGGCATTGCTCTGACTGTTACCTTGGCATATCCTTGTCTAATGTGGATAATGATCAAGAAACCTAACAGATATAGTCCAAGTTGGTTTATTAATTGGTCACTTGGACTTTTGGGATTGGTTCTAAGTGTTCTTTTGGTATTTGGGGCAATATGGACAATAGCAACTCAAGGTATGGATGTCCATTTCTTCAAGACCCAGTGAATACCAAAAAAGTTCGGGTAAGTGATAAAATCTAACTAGGAACATAATTGGTTAAAACTGGGGAGAAAATAACCTTAACAGCAGCCAGCCAATAAGATGTCCAAGTTGAAGTCTCTTCATGGCCTCTGTAAATATAAAAGCACACAAGCACTTATATCTTGTTGTCAATTTCAATGATGTATTATATAAATATCCTATTGCTTGTTAAGGAAAACAAAGTGCAGACATCAAAGATCAATATTCTTCATGATTTGGGAACAACCTTGACAGAATAAATGCCTTCGTGACGATAAAATGTAAGACTAAATAGAGATTTAAGTATGAAGGTACACGAGAATTACATTTCAGGACTGAGGCTAAACTTACATGAAGCTTTATCAACAAGCCCAAACACCTATGAAGTATATAACAAAAATAACAGCTCTGATGTCAAATGATCTCAAAATCTGCACCAATTAATCAGCTTGCCTCTACTACAATTACTTGTGTCAAAAGGAATTCAGAAAAGGAAAAAAAAAAGGACAAAATTATAAGTTGACATTTCACATTAAAATATAGGTTGGGCATAGCAAAAAGATTTTTCATGGCACATTTCTACATTGATAATGGAAGAAGCATTCTTCGCTTCTTCTTCCTGGCTTCTGTAACTTGCTTTGTAATTGTCACGCATACAAGCAATAGCAAGCTAGAACTTACTAAGATAAATGCAAGTTTTAGATGTGTGAAGTACAATGAAACTACTGAGAAAACCAGGAGTGCCAAGATAACCAGTTCACAAATTACAAACATCACGACATCCGCCCTGCATCAAGGTAAAAGAAAAAGGAAATAAGAGAAAAGAAGGCTCAGAACAACAAATAGTCAGAAGCTGCAATGACATTATGCACTAAACTGTTAAGGAAATGATAAAATCAGCTAGCATGCTGCTAGTTCTTCCACAAAAGTAAGTTCTAGGACCAAGCGCAAAGATGCAATTCACTCATTCTTCATCCAGTCCACTCTCAATGAAATACAACATTGTAAAAAAGATCGGAGCTGATCATTTCTCCATTCTACCATTTGCTTTCTTCCCTTTAATCCTAAGGTGTTACATTGATTCCAATATTCAACTGTAATTGTTTCGAAGTTGGGCATTTCACCTTCCTCGTTTTATTGGCCATGCAATAATTTACTCGCTTCAAAACTCTACTAGGTGCAGAGAAGTGAGGTAAAAAGGCAGAGTAAGAATTAACAATTCCCACGTCTCATTTCGAGCTAACATATAAAGTTCATATGTAACATTCAATCAAGTAATCCTAAACTTTGACAAACAAAAATTTCCTAATAATACCAACAACAAAAAAATAGACTTTCAGAAGCACATATTGATTAGATAACAGGTACAACTTGTATTGATTGAACAAAATTTGATAATCCTGGTGTCCAGGTCAGCTATAGTGCACACAACGATTATTCCACGGGATAACTATCACCTCCCATCACAAACATGAACCAGCTACCTTGTGTTTTAGTCTCTGCTGGGATTTAAACCTGAAACCTCACAATTATCAATCCGAAATGATAAATTTTCATAAACAAAATCAACATTTAGCCATAGAAGTGCATAGATTCACAGATTAATATCCTGGATCTCGTTCAGGAATTACTAAATGTAGGTTTTCAATAAAATCATTGCAGAAGCGAGAAATGAATTGATAGAATACCTTGAAGCGGTAGATGTGAGATTAGAGGTGGAGGAAAAGAAGGAGACGGAAGCCCAATCGTGCTTTGATCGAATCTGATACTCTCTCAGCTGCTCCGCCAAATTCGATCGCGTTATCATGATTCCAATTTCCTGCTTTCTCTCCTCCTCTTTGCACTTTTTTGCAATCTATCAAATGCAATTCTCTCTGAAATTTGTGTATCTACAGATTCCGTGGAGATGTTTTCACCAGCGTTCCTTCCGGCGACGGGATGACGTCGGCGGATGACGGCCGCCGACGGAAGGAATTTTGACTTACTATAAAGAGGAAATTCACCCGTTAATTTCTTTTTGGAATATTGTAAACCAGTGAACTTATCCGTGCAATAGCTCGTTAAATTCACTAAATAATTTTTTAGAATAATTAACTACTTAAAATATTTTATATATTTGTAGTATCATCCTAATGACTAAATATTTCAGATTAAGTTTATAATTAGTATTTAAATTTTATATCTTTTATAATTTTAAATTGCTTAAGAGTCTTTTATCTTCTGAAAATATTTTTTATGTCACTAAATTTATGCTCCTTATTTTTGCAACGAAAAGATTTTTTTTTAGTTTTGCTTGTCTAATCTTTTATCTATACATAATTTTTCCTTTCATTTATTTTAAATTTTATAAAATAATTACTTTTGCTCATTTAAGCAAAGTGTAAATTTTAGCTAAACCACAATATATATAAATAATTACTTCTAGAGTCACTATAAAAAATACTATGTAAGAAATATCATTTATGATTCTTTCTATCTTTTTATAATTCTTTTAACATTCTATACAAAAAACTATCTTGAAGTATTGATAAAAAAACATTTCAATATAAAGGCAAAACAATCTATTTAAATTAGCTATTTAAACTTGAAAAACAAAAACTAAAAATAAAAGAAAGATAAGAAATAAATAATATTGAAAATTAAAGTTGTACTTAGAATACATGGTGGCTAATAATCATTTTAAGATACGTTTTCTTTGTTTTATGTGCCTCAAGTTCAAAAATATCATATATATTTTTATGATTTCATCAAATATCATTGAATTGTGAAAATTCATTTTATCATTAGACCTTCATTTGACCATTCTATTATTTTAAGTTTTCATGATTAAATTTAAAAAATAAACAGAAAAACTACAAACAATAAGAAACTATTTTTTTGTTAGAAAAATAATTAATGTATATCATACGGTAGGAAATAATTAAAAAAATTAAACTATCAATATTTTTCCATTTCTTGCAAATTAATATCTCTCTCATGCCTATCCAATCATAAGTTATTAAATGAGGTATTTGATTATTAATTTTTTTATTTTATTTATGAATTTCAACTTCGAAAAAGATATTGACTACGAAGTTTTAAAATTCAACTCAAAATGTATTTTCACTTCAAATTGTTGACAAAATGTAAAAAATAATTAGAACTTGCATTAAAAAACTCCAATTTTCATAAATTATTTACATTTTGAAAATAACAATTGTTTTTAAAAAAAATTGTACAATGAGAGTGGCTTAATGCCTACTAAGTTTTCTCATTATGATCATATGCATTGTGCCTTATGAAATTATATAATAAAAAAAATATTGAAGCAAACTTTTTGGTGTCTTGTTCTTTCTTCACATTGTCTTCCCCTCAAATATGACTTTCTTTTCCTCGGGCAATTACAAAAGATAAAAGATAAATGCACAATTAAAAGAATAACACTTCATAATTAACGAATAACATCTTTTGTTGTGTGAACTTTTGAGCAACATTTTCTTGTTTATGGGCTTCTAAAACGTTTCCTTCGAACTTGAATTTACATCTGTTCCTAAAAAATATAAAATTACAATTAACAATTCATATTTTATAGATACTCATGTCTTTTAATATGTTACTTATGAAAAATGTATATAGAAAAGAAAATAGATATTCTCACTTTCTTTTGGTATGTGTAATTTTTTAGCAACCTTTTTTGTTATTGACTTTCAAAAAGTGTCTATTAAGTTTAGATTCCAAATAACACTTCCTCCAGCAAAGTTTAAATTATAGTTTATAGTTCACATTTTATAAATATTCGTGTCTTTTAGTATGCTACTTCTGAAAAATGTATATAGAAAAGAAAATAGATATTCTAACTTCTTTTGTATGTGTGAATTTTGTAGCAATCTTTTTAGTTGAGTCTCCAAGTAACACTTTCTCCGACAAAAATATAAAATCATAATTTAGGATTCACATTTCGTAAACACTCATATCTTTTAATAAATTTCTTATGGAAAATGCATAAATAAAAGAAGATAGATATTCGTAGCATCAATTCATATAAAAGAAAATGATAATCTCACCTTTAAAAATATTCATATAAAAGAAAATGGAATTGAGACTCCAAGTAACACTTGCTCCTGCAAAATATAAAATCATATTTCATAATTCACATTTTTTAAACGCTCACATATTTTAATAAATTCCCTTGAAAAATGCAGAAATAAAAGATGATTGATACACTTACCATCAATTCATATAAAATAAAATAGATAATCTCACCTTCAAAAACAGTCACTGAAATATAACCATCACCGAACCTTAATTGAGCTACTCCATCATTTGCATTGTTTCTTATATTTATATGTGCAAACAAGATGTAACTGCAAAGCATAATAATTTGTATGGTAAAATGCCATTAAATGTAATGACTTTTCATATTTTTGCATTTATTAATTTGCGAACAAGATGTAACTGCAAAGCATAATAATTTGTATGGTAAAATGCCATTAAATGTAATGACTTTTCACATTTTTGCATTTATTAATTTGCAATGAAACTTACCTTTTAAATTTCTTAATTACTACATTAATTTCTACATTTCCTTATAGAAACATACACAATACAAGGAAAACAAAATAATTTTAGGAGAAGAGCTAATTAGTATGGTAAAGAATATCCTATATATGGGTATGTATGCTTTGTCTATACACGTATTAAAAAGGTGAAATTTTTTTGAAGAATAAAACTGATTAATAATTAATTAAATGATCACATAATTAGGTCTAATTTAAGAAAGAAAATAACGCTTATATTTCAATGAAGAAGATACCTACTAATTTTCAATAATTATTACATTGATTGCTACATTTATATCAATAGTAATAATAAAGAATAATATAAATCAACATTGATTTAATATAATATTTTAAATCCTAAAATAAAGAGAAAATTCTCAAAAATCTAAGAAAAAAGATAATTAGAAATCCTGATCAAAGAACTATGCCACATCAGATTTTCCATTTCCTCATTTATATATAGATATAGATTTCCTATTTTCTTCTCTGAACTATTTTGAGATATTTAACTCTTTTTTTAATTATTTTTTTTTGGCAAAAATCTTTGTGTGATTTATTTTTCACACACACAAAAAAAAACTTATAAAACAAATTTGAGTCCTTAAACAAAAACAAACTAAAAGATTAGTTTTGATAAAAATATTGATTGTGGATGTATTTTATCCATGATCAAATATATTTTGAGTTGATATCAAAACTTAATTATGATGATATGTTAAATATTTTAACAATTTTATTTTTTTAAATAAATCTGTTGGCGTTTGAACATAAATAAAAAATCTAATTTGTATAGAAGTAGATATTTGTAGTAGAATGGGATTGAGAAGTATCGCCTAAATTCTTTGATCTTGTGTATTTTCATATTTGCAAAGTTAAATTGATACATCTAATAATATTCTTTCACCCTGGAAAGCAGGGAACAATCCACAAGTCGGAATTAGTGATATGAATGTGTGATATCCATTTGCTTCATTCTAATTATACAAGAAAGAACTATAGGTCTGATACTAAAGACAACAGACACGAGGTAGAAAGAAAACAGACCATGACAAGCTCCGATACATGCACTCAGCAAGACATAATTTTGTCATTTCGAGATCTTTCATCTCAAATAATCAATTGTCTTTCGAAGTTCTATTAGAGTTCTAATAAGATTTATGTCATCAACATAAATAGCAAGTACAATAAATTTCAATGTTATTTTATTTATAAAAACACATGAGCAAATTGCATCCATTGTAATTTTGTATAACCTTCCTTAAATAAATACCCACTAAGACGGTTATACCAAATGCATCTAGATTGATTCAAACCTTACAATGATCTTTGCAATTTAATTGAATACATTTTTCGAGATTTTGAACAACATGCTTTAGGAATCGTAAATCCTTCAGAAATTTTCATGTATATCTCATTATCAAGTGATCCATAAAGATAGGTTGTAACCACATCCATCAAATGCATTTTAACTCTCTCATGGACTGTGAAACTAATGAGATAATTTTACCAACTTCTATATATGTTAATTCTTGCTTGGAATGCTTATAATATATCTTATTAATATGTTATTCATTGCAGAGTTATAAATATCTTATCATCAATTATTTTTTATTATAACTATATAACTTTCAAAATTACATCGTTTTTTCTTGAAAAATATCCATTATATAAACTAATCTATTTAGTTGATTATATTTAAAGAAAAAATCATTTCTTTTTTTTTAATCTAACTATATTTTATTAAATTTGTACTATAAAATAATTAAGTATAATTTTAAGCAGATAAAATAACCATTTGTAACTACTATTAATGTAAAATTTAATTGTCTTCAAAAAAAAAAAATATTATTTTAAGCGAAAAAAATATTTTTTCAAAGGTATGCATTGATACAGAGAAAATGATCAAAATGCTCCTTAATGTATAATGGTTGAATTATTTTGGTCCTCTATATATATCATATATAGTCCTTAATGTATACAAAATCATGATCATTTTAGTCCTTAGCCCTAAAACTAACCAAAAAGATAAAAAAAAATCTGTTAACTTTAACAGTGGGTCCCTTGCAATTGAGACCCTTCTTCTTCAATCTGCTATTTCACCATTACCACAAGCAGACCCTTTTCCTTAACTTTTTTCTTTCACCATTTGAGGTCATGCTCCATATACACTACATCCATTTCTCATCTCCCTCTAAAAATTCTATTTACATACATAATAAGAAGAAGAAAATCAAGATTACCAAAAAAATGGGAACTAAGTAAATTGGATAAAAATTTATATTTTCCCTCTGAGGAGATCGTCATAAATAAACTCTTTTTAAGCTGTAACTAGTTATTCTCTCTTATGACGGATATAGCTATCTTTTCTTTTTAACTTTTTCAAAATTAGTAAGTTTTTCAAGCATTGTTTTATCATTCTATTTTTAAAATAAAAGGGTAAAAGTTGAACACAAAGATAGAAAATAAAAATCTTACAAATGTTCAATTAAAATTTAAAGAAACTTTTGTAA